GGTGTTCATCTCAGCCATCTCATCGAACGACATAGTTGTAAAACTCATGGTGATGGATAATAATAATAAATAGATAAAAAATAAGATAATAATAAATGATAACTGAAATACAGATGCATGATGAAAGAATAAAATAACGTCGTAAATGTTTTAACTCGTTGAGATAAACTGAAGATACTAATGGAGATACTTCTTTATATACGCATTTTATGGTTCTTGTGGAAATGGAACTTAGTAGTCTTCGACTAAAGCTGCTTGGAATAGTTGATTGTGAGATAATATGATGATGACCTCGAATCATCTTCTCCTCAAAAATGAAACTCGTTACATCAACTGTTTTTAGCGAAACTTGTTTATGTATACTTCATGGAATAGTTGATCTGGTTTAAGAATTCTACATGTAATCATTGAAATTGAAAACATGATGACCTGCAAGCCAGACTAGACGGGAGAGTTGTTTAGAGGTCGTCGAATGTAGGCCTGCCACCTTACCATAATACTCGACTCTCGATACATGTTTTGATAATTAACTATACACTGGTAAAATATTGAACCAATCTTCAAGAGTTCATACGGTGATGTGATGTGGCCTTGTATATACTTACATAGCTAATGAACTCAATAGTCTGGTTAGATTGGAACGGCTATTTTTTCAACACATGAATTATTTTATGTAAACCAGGGATATAATACATTTTAATTAAAATTCGTTGAAGGTGTAGAATATTCGCAGTCAGCATTGACCTAGATGATATTGTTTAACAAAGCCCTCCCCCACCCAATTCACTCACAGCTTTAAATACTACCAACATAATATCTAGAGTTAAGTAATAGTTCCACTTTCATTAGAACAACAGCTTCAAAATGCAGTGCTCACAATGTGGTCAGATATTTTCTGCAAAAAAAAATTTATATCGTCACTTGCGAGAAACAGGGCATGTCGCAGACCTTGAAGACATGCCATCCAAAAAAATTGAGATGTCTCCGAAAGTTGAATCGAATCAAGTACCTATAAGCACACAAAGAAGTAGGCCAAATAATGTTCAGGAAGAGCGAGCCGAAGGAATTGAAAAAATCAATAGCGCATTCAAATGCCGAATTTGCAGATATAGGTTTTCTACGAAAACTCATCATAATGACCATAGCGAATTCTTTGAAGATATAAGGAAGAATGTTTTTCTCATTTTGGTGGAATACATTGAAAAATTTCAGGCACTGAAGTTACATTTTGAATTATTCTCAGTATACATTATACCTGAAAAAGATGTTTCGGATTTGAAATCTTTCAATACGAAAAATAGAATTATCACTCGATCTACCAATTTAGAAGAAATTCATGAAGAGTTCAAAACTGATATAATGGCCAAGGTATCAACTATTCAGGAGAAGGATTCAGGTATGTTTATTAAAATGTAGTTATACTCAAACTCATGTGTAAATCAAAAGGAGAAACACAATAACTCTAAGTCGGTCGACCACAAAATTCAATAAAAACCCCCCTCAATGTGTAACTAGTTTCGGCCACACGACCATCTTCAGACACAAAAAATAATATAATGAAGTACAGGGTGATTCACTATAAATGCTAACTATTCATTATTGGTCAAAAATACACACATGTCACTATCTCAACTTTCGATTTAATATCCACTGACATTGATTTGTAACAATACAGGGTTCAATGAATAGTTTTGACAGAAATAAATTCCTGAAGTTGAAAAATCTCGATTTTGAACACCCTATATCTCTGTAATCATTCCAGCTAGACCCCAAGTGTGATGTATGTGTCTAATATAGTTGGCCTTTTCGAACCCTTTCACATAGATAATGTCTGAAGAATTTGTCAAATCCATGATGATTTTTCCAAATAAATGTAGTGGTGTGAATCCCATATCCCACGGAAGGCAGTGATGATTTTCAGTCAGCCAGTGATGATTTTCAGTCAGCCAGTTCAGTCAGCCAGTTCAGTCAGCCAGTGAGCTTGTCTTTGCAAATCTGGTGTAATGACCACCGCCTTATTTGAAGTTAATTCATCAATTTGATTCCGTTTTGGCCGAGCGGTTTACCAAGGAAGCAAATATTTTGACAGGCGATAGTCAAAGGAATGGTATTTATTAGTGGGTACGGCCTCATGCGGTAAAGAATCAACTAGTTGCATATTAAATATAATAGTTTATTATAATGCATAAGAGACGACCAATAGAGAAATAATCATGTACATATTCTATCTATCAAATTCTATCAACTCTATATCTATAAGTCATCACTAAACTCAATAAAGAATTGTCCTTGTTTCATTCATCCAATCTAATTTATCCTCGTTAACAACCTTCCTGAATACATCATTTGACCTGGAATCGTTATTGAGTCTAATTAGATTTATTCGGTGTCTTCCTACTTGCGTACGTCCGGCTTGCGTACAAGGGGCGTAACTGTCCAAGATGCTTTAAGCTTTAAGTGTTACGTGCTCCTGTATTTAATGTTGTTTCATGCGGAACATCTCCGCACATCAAGATACATGGGCCTGCTGAGCTGCATTTGCGCATGGTGCAACCCAGAAGCACCGCAGCCACCCCGACGAGCAGAAGAAGAGTGCCACTGTCATTGGTGCCAAGGCACCCCTGTACCGGGACCCTCCGATGTGTTCCCATGCTGCTCGTCAACTTCCGCTTCCCAAGACCCCAACGAGAGAGGCTACCTGCAGCAACCTCAACCCATGGACATCGCCCCCTCCTACGACTCTCCGAAGGAGCGTCTTTATCCCCAGATGCCACAGATGCCAGACTCGGAAGACTCAGAAACCGATTCTGAGGACATCAATCCCGCTGTGCCTGTAATGGGGCGCGTAGAGAACCCGGCGGATGGAAACTTGGTGGTAACCCGAAATTACCAGCCAACTCCATCCCACAGATCACCCTGAGAACGAGTAAGTTGACCAGAAGAAGTGCCACAAGAAAAGAGACTTTTAGTAATAAGTTTATACAGATAGAATAATTTTAGGTTAATTTTTATAGTAGGATTTTATATTATCAGTAGGGCATGAAAATATAGTGTATAGTTGTTTTCACGACACCCTAAATCACCTATATTTTCTGTTACTTTATCCTTAGTTTAATGCAACCATATATTCTCCTCGTTGGTATAATAAGTTCTTAGGTAGATGTTTCAACAATAAGTAGATGAGACTATTGATAATAAAAGGCTGATATGGATGTTTCAAATAAAGAGGGTTTCAGTTCATACGAAATCAACATGTATATACAAATTGATTTCAAAATGGGATTGTGAGGAATGTGCTGACCTCAACTAACAACTTCTTGATATAAAAAGTAACTTCAATCAAATCTAGATTATAAAGCAAAGTTCCTATTGAGATCAGCTAATTTTAATTTTTATTTGAAAACTACTCCTGCACGCCAATGCTCAAGATAACTCCTTCTATGAACCGCGACTTTAAGATGTACACCTGCATCCATTCGCGTATCTTTCTAGCCGTTGAGAGTCAAAACAAGGCAATAAATCAGAATTAATGGGCCATTAGCGTCATTCGGTGTCACCATATCAGAGAGATTAACGACACTGCACCTGCATAATCTACCCGCGACAGATTAACGCAGACAAAGGAAGGGATTTGATATAAGAGAGGAAAGAGTTCAATGAAAAGGGGACTACGATCCGAGTTTTGAGATTCGACACGTAACCAGTCAGCATAACAGTGAAACATTAAAGTAAAGTAAAGATAATAGAATGTAACTTTCTTCAAACAAGTAAGACCATGAGTCAAGTACAAAATAAAGTACAGTAAAAATTGTGACCATTCAGTAATTAAATAACAGTGAAAAACATGTGTGTGCTCTATCCACGTAAGTCAACCAAAACAAACTCCAAACAATTAACAATCGAGTGATGTAGACGTAAAACAATAGAAAATTATCGTTTTCTAGTCAAAATCGAGTGAATCCCTTCTTCCGGGGTTAATGCCCTCAGCAGGTACCCAAAATTGTCTGGCGCTAGTCTCGAGCGTTCAAATTACGACCCTTCCATGTATGTAGTCAGTTATGTAATATTATAGGAATAAATCGATTCCGTGCTACTTGCGTACGTCCGGCTTGCGTACAAGGGGCGTAACTGTCCAAGATGCGTACAACAAGAGATCGGTTAAAATCGTTTATTTTTTCAAGGGAGCGCTGTTGCCAAACTCAAAATTTAAATAACAAGTACTGTTGGTAAATTTAATACTTTTCATATAAAATATTGATAATAAAATTATAGTATGAACAATAATATATATATGTGTATATTTTACCTAACACTGGTAGGTGGTAGAAAATAAGCTGGTGTTTATAAAAGCTTTCTTACCAAAATAGCGTCCACTGTCGTCAAAATATGTTTAAATAAGATTAAGAAAATATTAGAGTGCCTTCTTTAGTTATTTTAATCACTTTAGATTTTTCTGAAATCGTTTTATATCGGAGACAAAATAATGGGTTCGGGAACTGTCGTATAGCTAAGGGGGCCCAATAATGTCATTGTTGGAGCCACGAAAAGGCTTTCTCTATTTACAGGCATGAAAGGATTAAAGAAGATCATAATGTAGGTAGGTATTGAGGTAAGTGGGCTAATATGTGTATGATTTTTGGTTCTACTTCTATCAAATAGTTAAAGGGCGCAATTCTACCAGATTATGATACTTGTGGCATTTTCCGAGCATATCATCAAAATTTGAATTGGTCCTGCTTTCAGATCTTCATCTCATTACATAAAAAAAGTTTCATTTAGATGATATGCTCTTATATGCCGAAGGCTAGGGCTAGGGGCGATGACACGTTCGCCTGTGAAAAAAAAGGAACGTAAATTCGTGGAAGAAAAATACAAAAACCCAACATTCTTCCTCTCCCACATACACACATGCTATCAATTCCATACATAAACTGATGACTCATAACAGCTATTTTCATATATTTTGAGCTTTGGAGGAATAATATTCAGTACAAATTGAAATGTCTAACGGTGTGCACATCTTCTTGCTGACGCTCTCATTTGCTATTTCCACTGCTGAAAATGCTAGCGACGTGAAATATGCAACAGCTTTTCTGGAACGCTTCGGCTATGCGGATAAAAATGCTATCACTGATTTATCGTCAGCTCTTATTCAGTTTCAAGAGAGATACAATCTTTCTGTCAGTGGAGAACTTGACGAAACAACGCTGAGCTTGATCAAAAGAACACGGTGTGCGATAAGAGATAATGATTTTACAATTCATTCTAAATGGAATAAAACAAATGTTCGTTGTTACTATCCCCAATCCAATCAGATACAGCGAAACGCTGCCAAGAAACCTTTCGATATGTGGGCGGGGATATCAATGCTGAAATTTGAACAGGTGCGACGACCTGCTTTGCAAAAACCCGATATCACCATAACTTTTGGCAATAACCGCCACTTTATGCGAACAAACTGTCAAGGAAACACAGCATGCCCCTTTAATTTCGATGGCCGCGGGACGGTACTAGCTCACACATTTTTCCCCTCCGAAAACAAAGATTGTCTGGAAATACACTTTGATTCTGATGAAAACTGGTATTTTGGGGTTGAGACACCTCCAGGTGACGGTCAAGTCAGCTTTTTGATGGTATTAGTTCATGAGCTTGGACACGCTCTCGGATTAGGACACAGCAGTGTCAATACGGCTGTTATGTATCCCTGGTATCAAGCTTATCGAACGGATTTTGATGAAGACGATAGAATTGCAATAGAGTATTTGTATGGGAAGAAAGATGACCGAATATATGCCAAGATCCCGAGCTCAATAACAACAACACCACAAAATGCTACAGCTATATCGGTTACTTCAACCACGCCTATGATGAAAACAACTACACCGGTCATGTTGCCGCAGTCACCTATGTCGATAAAACCACAAGCGAGTAGTCCGACGACGCCGAGAGAGCCACCAAAATTGTGTGAAATTCAAACACCCGACTTCATGTTTTTAGCAAGAGCACCCCAATTTCCTAATTATCGTCTGTACATAGGGTATAAGGAGTTTTTGTGGAAAATAGATTTGAACGATATGAATACTCCTGCACAGTCGGAAGTACTTAACGATTATCTTCCGCCATCGTTGAAAAACTCGCAGGTTTCTCATGTCTTTCAAAATTCTAGAGGTTGTTTAGTTACACTCGTAAATAAAACATATTACGCTGTAGACTTTCCAAATTTACAAATTCGCCACAAAATAATATTTTCTCTGCCCACCAATGCACAGATCAACGCTGTGTTTCAAACTAACAGTGGTCAGTCTTATTTACTATACAATAACGATTCCTACATTGAGTTCGATGAAATTGGAAATACAATCAGTCGTGGGCCTCTCAATTATGCTTTTCCAGGGATCCCATCGGGAATAATATCGGTGTTTCGATATACTGACGGAAACATATACTTTTTCACCAAAAACACATATTACAAGTACAGCGAGTATACAAGGAAGGTTTTGGACGCTGGAGAATTTAACTGGACTGTTTTTGGAATACCCTGCACTAAGACAGAATTATTATCCCAATTGAAGAGGTTATTAACAAAAATTGTATCTATTTATGAATAAACTATTATTTCTTGAAGGTTTTTATTTAATGGTATGGAAAAGTGGTAATATCAGAATGATGAAAAAAAGTTACAGATTGTATTCTGTATTCTGAGGAAAAACGATAACAAATAGTTGTGTGTGTGTATTCTCTGGCAGAAAATATTGCGTTCTATTTAGCAGCTGCGGTTTGAAATTGCGGTTTTCAAAACGATAA